AGCCCTGGTTAGTACTTGGATAGGAGACTGCCAACCGATACTAGTTGCTATAGTTTATATGTCAGAGAAAGGAACTGTCAAAACCACCTCTGAGTATTCTTTGCCTAAGAAAATCCTATGAAATTCATGGCATCACCATAAGTCAACAGATGACTTGAAGGCACATTTTGTTGTTGTGTGTCTTCAAGTCGTTTCCAACTTATGGTGACTCTAAGGTGACCCTATCATGAGGTTTTCTTAGCCACTTTCTTCAGAGGGGCTTTGCCATTGCTATCCTCTGAGGCTAAGAGAGTATGACTTGCCTAAAGTCACTCAGTGAATTTACATGGCCAAGCCAGGATTGGAACTCTGGTCTCCAAAGTCGCAGTCCAATGAGCAAACCACTACACCACACTGGCTCTCATACATACACACATACATACTGGAGATTCTAACTGTGCCCTTTGCTTTCTCCTTCTCCTCCTAGCTGAGTTGCCAAGGTAGTCCATTTAGTGATTCGAGTTTCAGTGCCCCAAGACTGCACTATGACGGTGTGCCAACAGCCGCCATCCAGTTTTGGAAATGGCGAACCCTTTCAGACCTTGAACGTCTGGACAAGAACTATGAAGCTTACAGTGCGCTCTCTGAATTCTTGCAACTGGTCTGGGATGACCAATTTGCGATCAACCCCAAACAAGTGGAACTGCTGGAGATGCTGAAAGTGACCCGGTTGCGTATTGAAGGCCTGCTCAGCAACTTGACTGCCATCATGTCTGCCTTGGGTGGGTCACCTACCCCTGTAACAGACTCATTCATGTTGGAATCAGTTGAAGCGAGCACTTTTGAGAAGAAAATTCGGGGGTATGTGGTGTGCCACCTGTACAAACAGTGGGTTGATAGGACTGTGCGTGATTTTGCCCTTCTGAAACAGAAATACCCAAGTTAACATTTACTCAAGGGGTTGCGGGAGAAAGGGTGACGTCCATGCCCAACCCCTTCCTGCAGACTTCTCAGGGAAATGAACCTAGGGAGAAGACAAAGAGAAGTAATATTGAATGTGTTTAATGTAAATCTACCTATTTATTTCCAGAGCTGAGCTCTGAAAACATCTTCTGCAAGATTTCAGTAGAAACTGGCTGTTTGTGATACTGAATGGCCACTGCTGTCTGTAATGTGTCTTAAGTCCTCTCCCCATTCCCAAAGCAGTTTGGCTCTTTTATATAAGTTTATATATTTATATATAAATATTTCTCATGATTAAATTATTTTTTTAAGTAAGATTGCAACTGAACTGATAAATGTGTAAATATTCACAGGGTCAGAGCTTGGAAAAATTACTTTTCTGTGTATCATGTGGCATGGAGGGTTTAGTCCCCACTTTTAGTGCCAGCATGGCACAGTGGTTTGAGTATTGGACTATGACTGTGGAGATCAGGGTTCGATTCCCCACTCAAGTATAAAAACCCACTGGGTCACTTTGGGCAAGTCGCAATCCCTCAGCCTCAGAGGATGGCAGTGGCAAACCCTCGCTAAAGAAACTTGCCAAGGAAACCCTATGCACCTTAAGGTTGCCATAAATAAAAATTACTGGGAGGCACAAACAACAACAAACTTTCTTTGCTCTGTTATATCTGGTTAGCCTGTACTCAGCTAGAGTTCTGTCACTTGCTTGCTTCCAGGTTTCCTAGTTGTGTACCGGTACTTTGCTTTTATCCTGAGAGTGGAAAGTTGCAGACTGGCTTCCATCACTCTCTCTCTCTCTCTCTCTCTCTGTGTGTGTGTGTGTGTCTGTATGATGGACAGAGAGACAGAGAAAGTGAGTATTCAGAGATATAACCATATTAGTGTGCAATATCACTATGCAAAGGGCTCTTGTAGCACCTTTGAGACTAACTACCTGAGCAATAGAAGTTGTAGCATAAGCTTTTGTAGACTTGGTCTACTTCCTCAGATGCATGGAGTCCATGAATCTGAGGAAGTAGACCAAACCTATGAACGCTTATGCTACAACTTCTTTGTTATTCTCAAACGTGCTACATGATCACTTGGCATTTATTTCTTTACATCAAGGGTGGGCAACTTTGGCAGGTCTGGGGGTCATTTTTATGTCCCTGGGATGGTTTGGGTGCTGCTCAAACAGCCAAAAATGCCACCCAAAGGGGGGGAAAACACACAAAAGGAAGAATCTTGAAGTCCGCTTCTAATCTTGAAAAATGGGAATGTTTTAAGGATCAGACCTTGCAATTTATTTAAAAAGTGAATTGTTTACTCCTGCAAGTTTCAAGGTGAGGCAAGCCATCTTTCTGGTAGGTTGTCTGGCAGAGTTTTGGAAACCTCAAACAAAGCTTTTGACCCTATGGCTGCCTTTTGCCAGACCCTCCTTTATAGAGGGACACAGACAATACTTATGAATGTAATTTTGTGTATTCAGTTGTAACTGGATACTGGCAGCTGTGCCATCAGGTTACAGGCGAAGAAGAAGGGAATGAGGGCCACTATCAATGCCGCTAGCAAGCCATCTCTCTGAGCTAGCAGAAGGTATGATGTCCCAGCTTCCCTGTCCATCATCTGCCAACAACCCACAGTATCATGTTGAGATCAGGGAGAGAAATGGAGTTCCTCCATCCATTCTTAAGAGACCAGCTCCAGTGGACTCCCACTCTCCCTGAACTGGTTTCCTTACCAGTTGGTTTTTATAAGAACAGCAATATAATTTAAAAAATTGGTGCTTGAATTTTCTTTCTTCCTCTTCTCTCATCATCCCTTTTCCTTTGTGTCATATCTTTTAGACTGTAAATCTGAGGACAAGGACTGTCTTATTGCTCTTTATAGGCTGCTCTGGGAGCCCATTATTATTATTATTATTTTAAAGTGGGATAAAATGCTAATGCTAATGCTAATGCTAAAATAAATAAATAAATAAATAAATAAATAAATAATTTATGTTACAGGGATGTTTACAGGGGTTATTTATATTTTATATACATTTATATTATATTTAATATGGGACAGTGAGATGTAATTTATTCTGTATTTCTGATGTTCAACGATGCTCTGGAGTTTGGAGAATATTTCAGAAGAACTGGCAGACAGCAAACGCTTCCAGAAAAGATTCAGAAACAAAACAGTAAAATAAACTGCGAAATAAGGACAACAGTCGTGAATGTTGATAAACTGATACCTGGCTGTCACTGAACTGTGTTTCATATTCCTTTCTAATGGCTGTAAGTCACAAGTCTAGCAAAGAGTCTGATTCACACATGCATGTTTGTCACTTGGTGAACCTTGACTGTTGCACAGACACAATGAATGGTGCAGTTGGATGTGTAAAGTGTCTCCCCTGAAACAGCATAGTAGTTAAGGTGATATAGAAGGTCATGGGAGTTGTATATGTGCTAGCAATTTACACATGCAGTCAATATGCCTAAGTATCTAATTTGACCTGGGGACAGCAGGATAGGGTAGTAAGTCAGGAGTCTTCTATTACCAGCTTTGTGCCTTAGACACCAAACAAAATATATAAGTGGGCCCTTGGTATCTGCTGACATTTGGTTCCAGGATCCTTTGTGGATGCCAAAATCTGTAGATGCTCAAGTCTAATGAAATACAATGGCCTAATAAAATGGTGTCTCTTATATAAAATGGCAAAATTAAGGTTTGCTTTTTGGAATCTATATATTTTTAAAATATTCTCAAGCCATGGATGCTTGAATCCGTGAATAAACAAAATCTGTGGATATGGATGGCTGACTGTACTTTTGTTACTTCTGAGGGGCAATTGTCTTGATAGGGGCATTTATGTCTATGTGCACGGTGTAGTGGTTTGAGTGTTGGATTATGACTCTGGAGATCAGCGTTTGATTCCCCACTTGGTCCCGAAACCCATTGGGTGACCTTGGGCAAGTCACAGGCTCTCAGCCTCAGGGGAAGGCAATGAGAAACCTTCTCTGAACAAATCTTGTCAAGAAACCCCCATGATAGGTTTGCCTTACGGTTGCCATAAGTTAGAAATGACTTGAAGGCACACACTAGTCACACTAGTCTCTGTATACCACCTCCTTTCCATCCTATTATATTTTATAACCCCATAACCCCATCCTATCACATTTGAATGTTATTTTTAAACACAGTGTTGCTGTTTTTTAAAGTTGAAAATAGTATATTTTGGTACCTTGCAAAGTTTCTTCATGTCTGACTTTTGTACAGGAGACTCTGTTTTGTATAATAAAAATCACATCATAAAAACAACTATATTTTGCATTTGTTTGTGAAAGCAGGGTATGCACATTAAGCAACAATGGCATTTTTCTCTTTGCAGACTTAAAAAAGGAACTGATGTGAATGTCCAGAATCAACTGTGAAATTGGCAGGCACTGAGGAAGTGGTCTTAGCTTTCAAGATCTGGTGCATTTTTGGTATTTAGGCCCTTGCTGAATTAAAAATCTTCTTTTTCACAGTGCACTTTGATTTTATTTCAACTGCCATGGCTCCATTTTATGGAATGCTGGGATTCATAGTTCTGTGAGGCATTTAGAACACTCTGCCAAAGTGCTCTATGCCTTGCCAAACTACAAATTCCAGGATTCCATAGGATGTGGTCATGATGTAAGAAGAAACTGCCATGATCATGTAATGTGAAAAAGATGAAAGTCATAATAGGGAGAGGTCTGAGCAGTTCTGGGGAAAGGAGGTAACGATAGAGGGAGATAAAATGCAACAAAGTTCATTGGAGATGGGGTAGTTGCAGTCAACTCTTGAGCCACTGGGATGCTGGGGATTGGAGGAAGGATGGAATTAAATTCAGCAGTCCACCCTTATTGTTGATTTTGCTTTCCGTGGTCAGCCATGGTCCAAAAATATTATGTAGTTCCCCCCCCCGAACAAAAGCTGGGGTTTGGCTCTCCATAGTTTCCATTACCCACAGTCAACCATGCTCTGAAAACATTACTGGTATAGGGCTTGGTACTATCCACCATTTCAGGCATCCAGTTGGGGTCTTTGGCCATATCCCCCATGGATAAGAGGGAGCGGTGTAGTGGTTTGAGCATTGGGCTACGACTCTGGAGACCAGGGTTCGATTCCCAGCTCGGTCATAAAACACACTGGGTGACTTTGGGTAAGTCATGTGCTCTCAGCCTCAGGGGAAGGCAATGACAAACCTCCTCTGAACAAATCTTGACAAGAAAGCCCAGAAATGACTTGAAGACATACAACAACAACGACAACAACTGTATTGTAAAAGAAAGGGGAGAAAGACAAAGAGAGAAACTGGACACCTTTACATGCATCAGAAAGCATAGACCAGTGGTTCCCAAACTTTGGTCCTCCAGATGTTTTGGACTTTAGCTCCCAGCATTTCTGACTGTGGCCAAACTGTCTGGGACTTCTGGAAACTGAAGTTCAAAACATCTGGAGGACCAAAGTTTGGGAACTACTCCCCTAGATCATAAAGTTTCAAGTCCCACATTCCCAGAGCTTGTTGGAGTGGATGACACCGTGGCTTCTTGGCTTCCTTCTATGACTGTCTCTCCTTCTCTGTAACCCATTCAAACATCCCAATGCTTTGGTATCTGATGGTGTGTTTGAGTCAGTCAGTTCTGAGGAAGGAAGAATGAGCAAGAGAAGATTAGGCTCCTGTAGATAGACTTGGACTGTGGGCAGAGACTGGCACGCTGCCCCACATGTCCTTGAAAGGTGGCAAACAAAAGCACACATTTTTCCTACAATGCCAACAAGCTCCTTGTAAAGCCAAAAGTGCCTGCCAACACAGTGCCATCACTTTCGTTTCCTCAGGAGTGACATAGTGTTGTGGGAGAGGACCTTAAAGCATGAAAGGTTCCTTTTGTTAAAAAAAGAATTCATTCCTACTACTCATTGCAATGTTTGAAGCTATGACTGCACCACTTGTGTCTATGGTACTATGCATTATTTGCTGATATGTCCTGATTACTCCTGAGAATGATGCTTTTGTCCTCAGATACTTTCCTCTTGCACTGAGGACTGGAGAAGAGAGTCCAGATCTTGAGATCTGGGATCCTACCTGTGAATTAGAGATACTCCTCCACTGTAGACACTGCCATAACATAAGTTTCTCCCCACCACTCTTATTTCCATCTTTAACTCCTAACAATCCTATGAGATAAGTAAGATGATGATTGGCCCTACTCATACTTCCTTCCATCATATCCTCCTCTGGTGCAGCTTTGAAGAGACATTTGGAAGCTTCCATTTTGGATTGACCAGAAAAGACAATAATGGTGGTAAGCCAAAAGGCAATCGGAAACAAGAAAGACCCCATTTCAGGATAGATTCAATCAAGGAAGCTATGGCCCAGAGTTTGTAAGAAAGACCTGAGCAGGGCTGCTGATAACATGGTGACTTGGAAGTCTCTTATTTTTAAGGCTGCAAGAAACATAGATACCAAAATATACTATTTTGTAGATTTTGTAAAAACAACAACACTATGATTAAAAAAAATAACATTCAAATATGATGAAATCCATGGGCAGCGAAAAAGACAAACAAATGGATCAAGTCGGAAATCATCCTCGAAGCCAAGATGACTAAACTGAGGCTGTTGTACTTTGGTCACATCATGAGAAGGCACGACTCACTGGAAAAAAAAAACAATAATGCTAGGAAAGGTGGAGGGAAGCAGAAAGAGAGGAAGACCACATGCTAGATGGATGGACTCTATTAGAGAGGTCACAGGTATGAATTTGCAGGAACTAAGCAGAGCAGTGGAGGACAGGGAGGCTTAGAGATCTCATCCATAGGGTCTTTATGAGTCGAAGCTGACTCAAGGATGATTAATAGCAACAACAAATGACAGGATGGGGTTATATGGAAAGGTGGTGGAATGTAGAAAAGGGAGAAGGGGTGACTGAGAGAGAAAAGGTTTCAGGAGAAAAAAGAAAGATCAAAGAGGTGAGAGATGAAAAGAAAGAGATGACTCCAGGTGAAAACTTCCATGTGAGGCAAGTCATCACTTTGGAGGGTTGTCTGATGGCCTTTTGGGAGCCTCAAAAACAGCCTTCAGGGTTGCTTGTGACCCCATGGCTGCATTTTGCTGGGGCCTCCTTTACATATAGTGTGTCTTTGTTTGTTGCTTTGTGAGGGTGTGCAGGGCAGCGTGCCAGTCTCTGCCTTCAGTTCAAGTCTATCTACAGGAGTCTAATCTTCTCTCTCTTCCACAGAACTGACTGATTCAAACACACCCTCTGATACCAATGTGTTGGGGTGTTTGAATGGGTTACAGAGAAGGAGAGAAAGTGATGGAAGGAAGCCAGGAATCCTGGGTGTTGGCCAGCCCCACTAGCTCTGGGAATGTGGGCTTTGAAACTTTGTGGTCTAGGTTCTCTGAAGCATATGGTGGTGTTCAGTTTCTCTCTTTGTCTTGCTCCCTTTTCCTTTGCAATATTTAATTCCATCCTTTCCCCAATCCCCAGTGCCCCAGTGGCTCAAGACTTGACTGCTGCTGCCCTCTCTTGGATAAGCCTTGTTGCATCTTATTCCCCTCTGTGGTTACCTCCTCATCTGCTCAAACTTTCTCCTCTTATGCTAGGGGTAGGCAACCTTTTTGAGACCTGGGCCGGTCTCCCGAAGCCCAGGTCTCCGCTGGGCTGAGGGGGGGGGGAATGGTGGCACGTGCGCTCACGAGTGCACGCACACCCTCCGCCGCCATGTGCGTGCCCTCCACTGCTGCGCGTGACCCCCTGGCGCACGCTGCCGCCGCCCCCGCAGCGCACACAGCCACCACCGCCGCAGCACATGTCGCGGCCGCCATTTTGAAAATCAAAATGGCGGCACGGCGCGTTTGCACATGTGCAGGAGTACTGTGCATGCGTAAATGAGTTGTGCCACCATTTTGGAGAACAAAATGGCAGTCACAACTCATTTGTGCATGCGCAGTACTCCTGCACATGCGCAAACGCGTGCGTGGCTGCATGGAGCAGGAAATGTGCAGCGGCGGCGGTGGCGCATGGTGGTGGTTGCGGCGGCAGGGATCGGCCTGGGCAGGTAAGTCCGGCGACCTGGGCCTTAACCAGCCCAGGGGCCATAAGTTGCTGGCCCCTGTCTTATGCCTTTCATCTCATTTACATTAAATGATCATGACACTTTCATATCGCATCATGGGCCCATCCTACAGCATCCTAGGATTTGTAGTTTAGCAAGACACTGGAGCTCTCTGGCAGTGTTCCAAATGCCTCATGGAACTATGAATCTCAGAGTTACATAGAATAATAGAGTTGGAAGAGCCTATAAGGGCCATCCACCTGTGTTCTTATAAGCTGGAAACACAGCAGTGACATCTGGGATCTCCAAAAGACCCCAGGGGATGCCAGAAGCTGAACATCCATCTTTGCTATAATTCCTGGATGATGCTCAGCTGCCACCACCTCTCACATCTAGACTCAGGCAACATTTCAGAAACTATTTCCACTGAGACATTTTTAATTATTATTAAATAAATAAATAAATAAATAAATAAATCAGAAATAACAGGGGGGAAATGGGGACTTTCATATTTTCCCAGTATATCTGGAAGGGCCCTTTGAATTCTTATATATATATATTTGGTGATGCATAAGTAATCACCATATAGTGATGGTCCTATTCCCCATTGCCGTTGTGGGAAGGCTGAGGCTGGCATCAGTAGTGGGTTTTGCCAGGATACTGGAGCTCAAGGCTGCCTGGTGCTTATGCCACCCTGTATACCACTAGATATTTGCAGCCTATACTCAGAAGTGTCACACTGAAAAATATGCTTATTGGCAAAGCCAATACTCTTTTACTAGTTTTGCAGAAGTAGCATAAAGGTTATTCCACTCAGAACCGAATTGCACCAGCAATTGCAACTGGATTGCACCAGCAGTTGCAACTGGATTGCATCAGCAGTTGCCAAGCAACTGCCAAATCCTTCCTCCCAAACAAATGCCTGAAATAGACCTTAAGGCCTTTCTCAATAAGGCCTGGAGCTTGCATTTAAAGAAGCATCTTCCACTTCATTTTGAGAACAATGAAGGTGGCCCATTTAGAATATATCCTGCAACAGGATGTGGGAAAAAAGAAGAGGGGCAGAATAGTTACGCTGTTGTGATTGTGTGCCTTCAAGTCATTTCTGATTTATGGTGACCCTAAGACCCTATCATGGGGTTTTCTTGGCAAGATTTGTTCAGAGGAGGTTTGCCATTGCCTTCCCCTGAAGCTGAGAGAGTGTGATTAAGGCTACCACCAGTAGGTTTCATGGCCAAGCTGGGAATTGAACCTCGGTCTCCAGAGTGGAAGTCCAACACTCAAACCACTACACCACACTGGCCCTCATCCCTTCTCAGTCGAACAAGGCAAACTCTTCCAGCCGCTCCTAGCTTGTGTCTTTTTCCTCATTAATAACTTTTGCAATCTTGACCTCACTCTGATGTTGTTTGGCCATATGTGTCTTGGTTTTCGTCTCTGAAATGTTAGGGTGGTGGTATACCATCTACATGATCTATTTTATTTTGTTGCCCATTTGCACTGGTATAGGAAAGGAGGAATTTGTAATTTGACTTCCTTATTTCTTTGAGATCAAAACCAAGCTGAACATCCTGGTGTTGGCTAGGTTGAGACTGAGATCTGGGCTCTTCTCTCAGGATGCTTTGAACGCTGGCACCATTCCCATACATGCTTCCCTTCATCTTCGGTAATCCATGTTCTATATCTGTGTTCTCTTTCCACCCAGAATACTTTTAATTGTCTATTTCATCATCGCTTGGTGCTCTTTCACTTCCTTTGAAAAAGAACTTTCACCTTCATTTAGACAGTCTCTGTTATCTGTGGTTTTACTGTTCTCCTGTCCTGACAATTTTCTTCTCCTATCTTAGGTTTTAGAAAGATGAGGAATTTCTGGAAGGGTGAATGCAAACCAAGATAAGATAAATACAAGCAGGCTGTGACAGAAAGGCACATGGGCTCACACACATCAAAGGAAAGAGGGTGGAAAGTGTTTTCCATGGTATTTATACACACAAGTTGCAGCCCATCTCTATGTTTTATACTTTCATCTGAGTATGTGGAGGTTCAACAGTATCCTAAGGGGAAAAGTCAGACATGAGTCAGCTCTCTCCTACCATAGTAGTGGATGCAAACTTTCATGTAATCACTTATCCAACTCTCATGGTTGTAATTTTCAATATTTTTTTAAAAAAATTTAAGGATTAAAAATTTCAAAACACCAGAGAAAGAAGAGTCTGAATTTATACATCAAATACTTTCTAAAACAACAAAGAGTCTTGTGGTGCCTTAAAGGTTTACTAGTGTATAAACCTTCAAGGACCAGAGCCCAAGTCAGATGGGCAGAGACCTCTGGTACAGGGATGAAATCTAAATTTTGAGGCTGTCTCAGTGGTAGAGCCAGGGGGTACTGAGCATAAGGGCTTGGCCAGGTCCATAGTACAGAGACCACAACCCAAATGCTACCTGTCAATGGGGAATAAAATTCTTTCCCTTTACTTTTCCAGGTACCATACATAAAGAAGAAGAAAAACAAGCCCACAAAACTCAGTTGTCTCATTCCCTGTACCTGAGGCTTGCAGGAGAAACTAGTAGCATGTGATAATCTGATCAAAGCAGGTACAGTTGAGCTAAGGTAAATAAAGGCCTAAATACCCTAAAGACACCAGATTCCAGCTGATCTTGGAAGCTAAGAAGGATCAGCTCCGGTTAGCATTTGGCTGGGAGACCACCAAAGAATAACAGGTGCTGTAGGCTATACTTTCAGAGGAAGGAACTGGCAAAATCACCTCTGAATATTCCTTGCCTAAGAAAACCCTATGAAATTCATGGGGTCATCATAAATCAACGCAAATACACACACCCAGATAAAGTCAAGTCACAGTAGGTAAAGTCAAGACAGAAGACCTCTTATGCAGAGAACAGATGGAAACAGGACCTTGGATAGCTCCAAAGGAGTTCTGTTGGTTGAAATTCACTCTGTCTAGGACAGTGATTCCCAAACATTGGTCTTCCAGATGCTTTATACTTCAGTTCCTGGGATTCCTGACACTTGTCTAAGCAGGTTAGGGCTTCTGGGAATTGAAGTCCAAAACACTGGGAACCAAAGTTTGAGAACCACTGGCATAGGACAGCTATACGAAGATGTTGTCTCAGCAGCTAACCCAACTGAATCCTTACGAAAGCTGAAAAGACCTGCAAAGAAGGTCTTGCCCCCCTCTCAAGAAACTGCTTGGCTTGCAAAGGATGCTCACCTAGTTTTGCAGTTTAATTTGCAATTTTATGAAGTTTTTAGAATTCTCTGTCCGGAAGCTCTCATGCCTCACCATACTATAAACCCCAGGATTTTGTAGTTACAGTCATGACAGTTAAAATAGTATCAAAGTACTATAATTGTATAATATAAATGACTTTAGACATCAGCCAGGCTGTTGGGATTTCAATCCTCTAAATCAGAGGACAAAAGCATGGTTATGTCCTCTGGCCAAGAGAGGCTTGAATAAGATACTGACCACCCATCCTTTGAGGAAATAACCTTGTCCTAATTCAAGTAGTGAGAACTACCTTTGAAAATTCCTTGCCTAAGAAAACCTTATGAAATTCATGGGGTTGCCATAAGTCAACATGAGACTTGGAGGCACACATACACGCACATATAAACACGAGTTTAAAAGCTAAGAATAAAAGTAGTACAGCAGAGGGAAAAATCCATTTTCTTATAAGACCATCAGTTCCCCAAAGCCTGATGGAATAGAAAGGTCTTAACCTGAAAAGAGGGAGCCAACCTAGGGGTTATTCAGATGGTGAAAATAATCCAGGTAAAACCTGGGTTGAATCTTTGTAGTTCACATGCATTTCAAATGCATCTGATTAAGTTTTTTTGCCAACTCCCAAACCCCCACTTACCCAGGCTAATCGATCTCAGAGTTTTTCTCTAGGTTTTTCTGAAAGGTTTGCATTCTTGGTTATGTGACTAACTGATGTGAATAGACCCATGATAAACTGGGATAAAACTCTGCTTGCCTTGAATGGGTTTCAAGTATATCCGCATCATCCACTCCATCTTTATTTGAGTGTTGGCACGTGTGAGCAACTGAAGTCACAGAGATGCACATAGATGTGGTTCCATAGTATGAACAACAAATCCAGAATGTGTGAGTGAGATTATTTGCATAGTCCCGCTAAAAAACAACAACATCTGAATGACCCCCTGGTCTGCCTAGGAAGGGACTTTCAGAGTCTGGAAGTGGCCACAGAGAAGGCCCTCTCTCATTTCTCCCGTGAAGATGTTGGGACTCAGGAAGGCTTATAGGGCAAGACACATTTGGATATCTGAACCCAGGCTTTATAGGGCTCTACTAGTATTTCACCAGTACTTAGAGCTAAGCTTGGAAAGAGACTGACAGTCATTGGAACCATTGTAACAAAGGAACCATGTCCTCTCTCATAATTGTCCTCTGTTAAGAGTCTGGCTACAGCAATTTGGACCACACATATATACACAAACATACACCGCTAATGCCAAATGTAATAAGCTTGGATGGAATTTCCTGTATTGTGGAATAAACCTAGAGGTAGAGGTTTATCCCAGTTCACCTAAATAATATGTAAAGCACTGCTCCGTGATATTGGCTGTCTATCGCACTAGAAAAAGAAGAACATGTTGACAGATTTAAGATGGAAGTCCATTTCCCAAGCTGAAGTTTTCGATTCAGCATGTTACAGTAACTCAAATGGAATTTAACTCTCTGATGTTGCTTGTTGAAATGTTGTTATAATTCCTTTCAATCCGGCTTTGTCTTGAGTCACTGGGAATGAAATTTCTGAATGGCTGGGGATTGGCAATTTGGTCCCAATTAACATGTAGGGGGAAAAAAATACTTGTCCATGGGCTTTAAGGAGTCAAAATATGTTGCATTTGTAAATCAGTGGAGGATAAGATAAGAGCCAGTGTGGTGGAGTGGTTTGAGCATTGGACTATGGCTCTGGAGATCAGGGTTTGAATCTCTGCTCAGCCACAGAAACCCACTGGGTGACCTTGAGCAAGTCACACTCTCTCAGACTCAGAGGAAGGAAAAAGGAAAACTCCCTCTGAGCAAATCTTGCCAAAATATCCTGTGATAGGTTCACATTAGAGTTGCCATAAAAAACAACTTGAAGGTGTATAAAAGCAACAAAGATGTTGAAAATAGTCCTAAAGCCTTTCGCATGAAGACAGTGTGGGAAGGATTTTAAGGAATGTTGACTTGGATAGGAGTAATTTGAGTACTGGTCTAGGATTTCAAGAGTTGTTGTTGTGTGCCTTCAGGTAATTTCTGACTTATGGCAACCCTAAGGGGACCGTATCATAGGGTTTTTTTTGGCAAGATTTGTTCAGAGGAGGTTTGCCATTCATTGCCTTCCCCAGAGGCTGAGAGCATGTAACTTGCCCAAGTTCACACAGTGGGTTACATGGCTGAGCAGGAATTGAACCCTGGTCTCCAGAGTCGTAGTCCAACACTCAAACAATTATGTCACAGGAATTTCAAGAGACGAAAGCTTAAATCTCCACTTAGATGTGGAAACTCACTGGGCAGGTATGCCACTCTCTCTCAGCCTCAGGGGAAGGCAATGAAAAATCCTCTCTGACTAAATCTTACCAAGAAAACACTAGGATAGAGTGTTTCTTGAAGGCACATAAAAACAACAGAGGGAAGGTGAAAGGCCTGAAAGAGGACAGGCAATTTTTATATCCCTAAGGGAGAGATAAGGAAGGCATTGGTAGGTTATTTCTGGACAACCCCATGTTGCCTTTCTGGATGAGGTTCAATTTAACTGTGTGCTTAGAATATTCTTTATTTTTCTGTTAGTCATCATTCACTCCCCTCTTCAGTTTTTAAATGGAAGAATTTGCTCAATTTATTTGGATTGATTTAAGATATCATGAGCCAATTCTGTTATACTATTGTGTACTGACCAATTATTAACAGTGAATAATTGTTCCTGTGACTGTTTTGTAATTTTTGTAATTGTTACTGTTATGTTGTGAGTCAGTCATGTGAGAAAGCAGAATGCAAATAAATACATGGCAATAATGGAGAGTTTATTAATACACTCGTCGCTTGCTGTTCCGGACTTACTGTTTGTGTCCTTTGGTCTTTTGTGGAAGGCAAGCACCAAGGGACAAAATGGTGCACCTGCAGAGCAGTGTGCAGCAGTGCACCACCATTATATCCCATGGGACTTCAATATTTGCGGTATTTCCGATTCACAGGGGGGTCCGGAACAGATCCTCCACGAATTGGGAGGGACAAGTGTATACTTTTGCGTGATGAACAAACTTTGGGTTTAAAAACTATTGATGAGATTTGTGTGTCTTTGTGGCTAAGGCTGCTGCCAAACTCCAGAATGAATGGAGTTTGACACTGCTTTAAACTGTCATGGCTCCATCCTATGGAATCCTGGAATTTGTAGTTTGTTGTGGCACCAGAGCTCTCTGACAGAGAAAACTAAATATCTCACAAAATTACAAATCCAAGAATTCTATAGCATTGAGCCATGGCAGTTAAAGTGGTGTCAAAGTGCATTAATTCTGCAGTGTAGATGCAGCCTTAAGTAAAAAATATTGCTGAAATATTGTCTTTTTAGGGTAGCAGATGGGATAATGGGGTGGGGTCCCTTTGGTAGCATTTCCTCCTATAACAGCAATATTACAAACAGGTTTTGATTTCCAGATGCAAAACAGTGATGGTTTTTATCATGATGCTGCTACACACACATACACCACACCCTCC